TTTTCTGTATTTTAAAAATTAATATAAGGAGTATCATACTGTATGTGTCCCTCCAACACAGTGTTTTTGAGATTTATTCAGATTAATATTGTAAAATCAAGGTTACAGCAGTCCTCTCTTCTCCTTAGGGGAAACATTCCAAGATGTCCAGCAAATGCCTGAAATCACAGACAGTATCAAACCCTATGTGTTTATTTTTTCCTGTTCACACATATTTATGAAGTTTAGTTTGTAAACTAGGCACAACAAGAGACTTAACAACAATAATAAAACTGAATAATATACAACATATTGCTTCCAATTTCATGGAGATAAGATTTGTTCTTCTATAGATCTCAGCACCCTTAGTGTACGATTTTGTTCTCTCCTTATTAAGTCAGGAACTTTCACCTTTTCACTTAAAGGAAGCACTTTACAGCTTCTCTTTGGCATATCTGAATTGCCAGCGTCATCACTCTTGCACTTTTGGGGCCATTATTAAGTCAAATAATGGTTACTTGAACATAAGCACTGTGATACAGCGTGGATCCAGGGGATAGAGGGGATCATTCATGTTCTGGGAGGGAAGAAGGGGACAGCAGGAGATTTCATCCCGTTACTCAGAACAGCATGCAATTTAAGGCTTATAGATTATTTCTATCACCCAGGCTAGAGTGCAGTGGCGCGATCTCGGCTCACTGCAAGCTCCGCCCCCCGGGTTCCCGCCATTCTCCTGCCTCAGCCTCCCGGGTAGCTGGGACCACAGGCGCCGCCACCACGCCCGGCTGATTTTTTTGTATTTTTAGTAGAGACGGGGTTTCACCGTGTTCGCCAGGATGGTCTGGATCTCCTGACCTTCTGATCCACCCACCTCAGCCTCCCAAAGTGCTGGGATTACAGGCATGAGCCACCGTGCCCGGCCCCTGCTTATAGATTATTTCTAGAATTTTCCATTTAATATTTAGAGCCGCAGCTGACTTCAGGTATCTGAAAGTGCAGAAAGCGACAACAGCAGATAAGGGGGGACTACTGTGTTGCTTTCTCTCACAAACCCCAGCATGCTCCTGTTTTTGGCCAAGCCCAGAAATTAAGGTGTAGATGGGGCTTCACTCCCACAGCCCCCATGCTGGGCACCTCTCCTACCCTGGCTCTAGCTGAGTGAGCGCACACTCTCACTTTAAATTTCCTCTTTGTCTCTGAAACACAGAGACTTCCTTTTTATGTAGCTCCACTGAGTACTTAATATTTTGGGTTAAAGTTCAATCAAAAAAATCCTTTAATAGAGCAACGGGAGCCTGAGTGAGTCCAGCCCACCATGTTGCTGAGACTGGTAAGTAATCCTGGTTGAAGGACAGTTTTCCAAGTGCGCCTCAGATGTTTGCTTATCCCCGCTGTAAGTGTGTACACACTGTGGGCTAACCAAATAGGACTGTGGAGAATTCAGGCCTCTCCACACAGCATAGGGAAAAAGGTGGAAGAATGCTTGTAAAAGCATTTGCAGGAATAAAACTGTGATGTCGTGGGCATACAGCTGGGAAACCATATCTCTGCCAGTGCACATCCTATACTCACAATCATCTGCATGTGCCTACTCCACATGCCTGCAGCGTGCCTCCTGGCTTAGCTGAGTATTGCTGTCTTCGTTGTGGGAGCTGGCATCACCTAGTTCCTAATTCCTTCTGTGTTTTACTTTCACAGGCTGGTGGTTTGATGCATGTGGTCCTTCCAACTTGAACGGAATGTACTATCCACAAAGGCAGAACACAAATAAGTTCAACGGCATTAAGTGGTACTACTGGAAAGGCTCAGGCTACTCGCTCAAGGCCACAACCATGATGATCCGACCGGCAGATTTCTAAACACCCGAGTCCACCTGAGGACGACTGTCTCGAACTATTTTCAAAGACTTAAACCCAATGCACTGAAAGTCACGGCTGCGCACTGTGTCCTCTTCCACCACAGAGGGCGTGTGCTCAGTGCTGACGGGACCCGTGTGCTCCAGATTACAGCCTGTAAACTTTGTCACTTAAACTTGCATCACTTAACAGACCAAAGCAAGACCCTAAACATCTGTAATGGTGATTAGACAGAACACCTATGGAAGGATGAACCAGAGGCTGAGCATCAGATTGACAATTTACAGACTCTGCTGTCACAACGAAGAATGTTATGTGCAAGTTTATCAGTAAATAACTGGAAAACAGAACACTTATGTTATACAATACAGATCATCTTGGAACTGCATTCTTCTGAGCACTGTTTACACACTGTGTAAATACCCATATGTCCTGAATTCACCATCACTATCACAATTAAAAGGAAGAAAAAAATCTCTAAGCCATAAAAAGACATATTCAGGGATATTCTGAGAAGGGGTTACTAGAAGTTTAATATTTGGAAAGCAGTTAGTGCATTTTTACTCCATCTCTTAGGTGCTTTAAATTTTTATTTCAAAAACAGCGTATTTACATTTATGTTGACAGCTTAGTTTTAAGTTAATGCTCAAATATGTATTTCAAGTTTATATGGTGGAAACTTCTAGGATCTCTGAAATTATCAACAGAAACATGTGCCATTTTAGTTTATATGCAGATTGTACTATTTTTTTCTGCCTGATTGTTAAATATGAAGGTATTTTTAGTAATTAAATATAACTTATTAGGGGATATGCCTATGTTTAACTTTTATGATAATATTTACAATTTTATAATTTGTTTCTGAAAGAACTAATTGTGCCTTGTGATAAGGAAACCTTTGATTTTAATGATGAGGAAAATTATACATTTCATTCTATGACAAAGAAACTTTACTATCTTCTCACTATTCTAAAACAGAGGTGTGTTTTCTTTTCTAGTAAGATATATTTTTATAGAACTAGGCTACAATTTAATTTGTAGTTGAGAAAAGCCTTCTATTTAAGAAATTTACAAAACTATACGTCTCAAGATTCACCCTTAAATTTACTTAAGGAAAAAAATAATTGACACTAGTAAGATTTTTTTATGTCAATCAGCAAACTGAAAAAAAAAGTGTTTCAAAGTGCAAAAACAAAATCTGATGTTCATAATATATTTAAATATTTACAGAAAATTTGAGAACACAGGGCCGGGCGCAGTGGCTCACACCTGTAATCCCAGTACATTGGGAGGCCAAGGTGGGCAGGTCACCTGAGGTCAGGAGTTCAAGATCAGCCTGGCCAACATGGTGAAACCCCGTCTCTATTAAATAATACAAAAACTAGCCAGGCGTGGTGGTGGGCGCCTGTAATCCCAGCTACTTGGGAGGCTGGATCAGGGAGAATTGCTTGAACCCAGGAGGCGGAGGCTGCAGTGAGCCAAGATCACGCCACTGCACTCCAGCCAGGGTGACAGAGCAAGACTCTATCTCAAAAAAAAAAAAAAGAAAAGAAAATTTGAGAACACAGCTTTATACTCAGGATTACAAAACCATAAACTCCTAGAGTTTTAACTCCTTTTGAAATTTTCATAGTACAATTAATACTAATGAACATTTGTGTAAAGCTTTATAATTTAAAGGTAATCTCTCATATATTCTTTTCTGAGTCATTTGCAAGGAAGTTCAGAGTCCAGTCCACAACTAGCATCTACTATACGTCTGTCTTTACCTTAAAGTATTCTACCATTATTTTTTCTTTATTCCATTTTAAAATCTGATTTATTTTACGCCAACTTCTCCCCGCTCCCTTGATGTAGTTTTAGAACACATAGGTGTTGCTACATATTTTGAGTCAGTGATGGACTCTGGCAAAGTCAAGGCTCTGTTTTATTTCCACCAAGGTCCACTTTTCCAACAACTATTTAACTGAGTCAAGAACCTCCCTACCTTAGAACTGTATCTACTTTATATTTAAGAAGGTTTTATGAATTCAACAACAGTATCATGGCCTTGTATCAAGTTGAAAAACAACAGAAAATAAGAAAATGTCACAGCCTCAAAAGACAACAACAAGTTTCTATGATATTTCAATGACAACAGTGATGGATACTTAGGCAGGGAAATGATAATGCAAGAAAACCTGGCAACAACACAATTTATATCAATTTTCCATGTAGGCAGGTGAAACAAAATTCAAGGACAAATCCTCATTATGTCATTGGGCATCATATATAATCTCTTATGACCGAGAATGGGGGGAATTTGTGTTTTTACTTTACACTTCAGTTCCTTACACAGTATTTCAAACAAACAGTTTTGCTGAGAGGAACTTTTCTCTCCTTAAGAAAACATTTATAAAGCTGAAAGGAAATCAAACAGTAATCTTAAAAATGAAAACAAACAACCCAACAACCTAGATAACTACAGTGATCAGGGAGCACAGTTCAACTCCTTTTTATGTTTTAGCCATACGGCCTACTCAAACAGCTATATAACAATACGGGTGGCAGATAAAAATCACCATTTATCTTTCAGATATTAATCTTTTGAATGAATAAACTGTCACAAGCAAGTTAACATTTTTGAACATGAAAGGCAACTTCCGCACAATTCTATATCCAACCAAACCTTAAATTACCCGCTTAATTATTACTTCATCTTAAAAAAAATTAGAACCCAGAACTTTTCCATGAAGCATTTGAAAGTTGAAGTGAAATTTAGGAAAGTCATAAAAATATAAAGACTGTTACCACAGCACCAGCAAGCCATAATTTTTACATCTATCAGTTCTGCCTCTATCAACAGGAAAAACAGTAAGCAAGATATAAGACTACTTGCCCAAGAATTCAGTCTTTTTTCAATTTTGTTTTTCTCAATTCTGAGGACTTTAATCATTAAATTTTCTTTGGACTGCATTCCTGACCACTTTTTGCAGAATGGTCTCACGTTCTCACATTTGTTCCCACAAATAAATTGATAAAAGATGTTAAGTTCTGTGAATGTCTTTTTAATTATGGGCATAATTGTGCTTGACTTGATAAAAACTTAATTCTACCCTTACGTTTATAATAATTTCTTGAGAACACCAAATTGCATTTACCATCATAAAACAATATTTGACTTACAGGAGCTGCAGGGAAGTGATTAGACAGTTCGAATGGCTCCTCAGAAATCCAGTGACCCAATTCTAAAGACCACAGCACCTGCAAGTGATAAAATAAGCAGATTTATTATACATTTATTAGGCTTAGCAGGCAATAAACCAAGAGTCACTTTGAAGACACAGCAAAAACAAAACAAAAAATGCAGCAGTGATACACTCCGCAGATCTGAAATAGATGTGTTCTCAAACAATAAAGTCCCTTCAGAATCTTCATGTTGCATAAATGTTATGAATATTAATAAAAACTTGGTTAAGAAAGTCTCAAAACAAGAAATCTGAGTCATTATTCTCATGAGGCCGAATATTTAAATATTATCCTGTTTTTACACAATGAAATATTATATACATATTTTTAATTCCAAGTTTCTAATTTGTGAAGTTTTATAAACAGTCCTCTATAAATATTCCAGACTTTTATTAATTAAAACAGTGAATTAACAGAAGATGGATCACAAGCCTAAATTCAAAAGCGATCCCTTTGGCTTGCGACTTTGTTTCTAACATTGGTTAATACTTTCAGAAGTCTCCCGGAATACACTTGAAATTCCTTCCCAGACTTTGGAAGAGTAAAATGTCCCATAAACAAGCTTTCATCATCATCATTATCCTCTTAGCATTTGAATCCCCACACTTTTAAATGATCAATACAATCTTTTCCTTTTTAATTCAGTAATATCTGAGGTTCTGCAGCCGTCTCTACTCCAGGACCAAAATCCCTGAAAATCTGTCTCTATACACCAGAAGTTTAGAGCTAAAATAATAAAGCTGGATTATATAATTCCTGTTTGTTTGTTTGTTTGTTTATTTATTTATTTATTTTTTGAGACAGACTCTCACTCTGTCATCCAGGCTATAGTACAGTGGTGCAATCTCGGATCACTGCAACCTCCACCTTCCAGGTTCAAGCGATTCTCCTGCCTCAGCCTCTCGAGTAGCTGGGACTACAGGCACCCAGTACCACACCTGGCTAATTTGTTTTGTATTTGTAGTAGAGATCAGGTTTCCCCGTGTTGGCCAGGCTGGTCTCGAACTTCTGGCCTCAATTGATCTGCCAACCTCAGTCTCAATGCATGTTATTTAAGGAGATATACTAACAATATGTGAGGCTCCCCACAAACTCATAAAATTAACCCAGAAAATAAAAGGTAAAAATCAGGTTCATTTCAGACAAGAGGCAACATAAAAGAACAGTACAGTGAGAAATACAACGGACCAGTGACGGAAGCCAGGAACCAGACTTAAAAATGCGTGTGGCGTTCAAGTTCAAATACAATCCACATTAAAATGTCAACCGAATTTAAACAACCTCATGGAGAAAATTTACGTTCTCTGAATTTAGCCCTTTCTAAATGTTAAGAAAATAAAACCATAAGAGGCTAAAGTAGAGTTCTGGTCAGTAAATTAATTAATTTACACAGGCATCCCAGGAATTAATATTGTATAGACATAGGAGAAAACACTAATTCAGTTGTATTAAAATCATCAAATCAGAAATGCAGTGTAAACATTTTGCTCCAGTAGTTTCATCGGCCAAATACATCTTTACCTTAGTAGAGTGTTCAAAATAGCGAAAATCTACTTTGAAAGAGCACAGGTAAGGCTGTACGCAAACTTAAAAACAAAAGGTTGGCCCAACATGTTTCTCATAAGAAGGGCAGAGTGAATTCAGTGTCTTGTAGGTAACACATTACATAATGAAAATAGTGTTTTTTACACTGTAATATTATCATTCATAAAACCCAAACCTTGCTGATGAACGTAAATAGTAACTACATCTGTGAATAGAAACTGCTTTATTTCTTCCTGTCTGATTTGTATGCACACTTTATTTCCCACCTTATTGCACTGGGTAAGACCCTCTTGTTCAAGGCAGGGAAGGAGCAGTGAGAGCATTAGAGTTCTTTGAACAACTTTGTGAGACAGACTTCTTCAGTTTATTGTGGTATAGGATATCATAAAAACCTAAAGTGTTCAACGTAATGTACCTATGTTCAAATCAATGTATCTATTATGTTAATGTGTCTATGTTCAAATCAATCTATAGAAAGCACAAGCTTTTTTCTGTATTTATATTTTCGAAGCCACTTTAGCTTCATAGCAAAGTTAAGAGGAAGGTACAGAGAGTTCCCATACACCTCCTTCCCCGACACATGCATTTCAGTGTCTCCCACTGGAGTGCTACATGTGTTGTACCCAGTCATCCCATGTTGACACATCATTATCACCCAAAGTCCACAGTTTAAATTACAGTTCCTTAGAAGTGAAAAGCACATACTATGATGGAGTACTGGTGCTGGCCAGTGGTTGCAGTGCTTCGCTAAGCTCTTTTCAACTTCCTATTTCTTCTTCTTTTCTTTTGAGACAGAGTCTTCCTCTGTCCCCCAGGCTGGAGTACAGTGGTGCAATCTTGGCTCACTGCAGCCTCCGTCTTCCAGGTTCAAGCAATTCTCCTGCCTCAGCCTCCTGTGTAGCTGAGACCACAGGCACACCTCACCATGCCTGGTTAATTTTTTTCTTTTTTTTTTTTTAGTAGAGATGGGGTTTCACAGTATTGGTCAGCCCTGTCTCAGCTTCTCAATGTGTTGGGATTACAGGCAGGAGCCACTGCACCCAGCCCTCTCAACTTCTTATTTCTCAAAGAATTACAAATATCTGAGTGATCAAAAGGATTACTGCTAAATATCGGCAAATGTTACATCTCCAGTTAGGATCAATCACATTAATTTTTATTTATTCATTAGCTTATTAGTATTTTCTTAACTGCCTAAGAAATTTTCTTCAGCCAAAACCAAAATTTATTCACAAAGTATTTCATAAGCAAAAACACTGAACAAGGTATTCAATTTTTGACTTCTCAAAAAAAATTTAAAGAGGGAAAACAACAAGCAATTATTTCAATGTCTAAGTGATGAGAGAAAACTTGGCAGTGGGGGGGAAGGCAATCTGTAAGAGGGATTTTAAGTTGGGCTTGAAAACATGACCCCATTTAATAATGACTCCCTACTGGTATGAAAAATACAACTGCAACATGAAGCTGGTTTAACTCACTGGAAAGCATTAATGATTGTGTTGAAAACATTTCTTAACATTCACAATTTTTGATAGGCAACATTACTGTTAATCGTAACAGTAAATTTATTCCACATTTCTAAATAGCCAGCCTTATCCAAGCATACCGCCCACCAGAGCTTACCACCCACCATACTGTGAAATTCAACTGCAGTTGTGGTACTAAGAATACCTGTGGGAATGTAACTGGAAAGGAAAAAGGTGGGGGGAGGGGGGCGAGAGGGGCTTCCGTGTGGCAAAAGTCAACAATATTCTTTTGCATACAAAAGACTTCCTAGTAGGCCACAAACTGGTACCAGGACCCCTATTTTACACGTTGTGGCCTACTAGGAACCAGGCCACACAGCAGGAGGTGAGTGGCGGGTGAGCCAGTGAAGGAAGCTTCATCTGTATTTACAGCTACTTCCCATTGCTTGAATTACCACCTGAGCTCCACCTCCTGTCAGATCAGCAGTGGCATTAGATTCTCATAGGCGCGTGAGCCCTATTGTGAACTGTGCATGCGAGGGATCTAGGTTGCACGCTCCTTATGAGAATCTAATGCCTGATGATCTGTCACTGTCTCTCGTCACCTCCCAATGGCACTGTCTAATTGCAGAAAACAAGCTCAGGGCTCCCACTGATTTTACATCACGGTGAGTTGTATACTTATTTCATTATATATTACAATGTAATAATAATAGAAATAAAATGCACAATAAGTGTAATGTGCTTGAATCATTCCGAAACCATTCCTCCCTCACCCTCTCAATCCCCCAGTCCTGGAAAAATTGTCTTTCACAAAACTGGTCCGTGGTGCCAAAAAGGTTGGGGACTGCTGGTATAAAATACCACTTGATTAATTAAAAATCAAATCTGATAGTTAGAAACTTGTCCCGCAGATGTAAGCCATAAGAATGTAGCTGATTTCAAACAGTTCAAAAGTATGTTTTACATTCCACTTTACTGGATGATACTTTAGGAGTAAAGTTAGACATATCTTTACTTTAATCATTGAAAGTGATTGGGGTGTTTCTGCCACTGTCTCCTCCATCCACCTCTCACTCCACCGACTGTGGTAAAAAGTGTGGTTGTAGGTGTTATGGAAGGTTATTTATTATAAGAGGTTTTTTTTTATTATTTACATTATTTATTATAAGAGTAACAAAAGTAATAATTATTAATTTGTTACCAATTTAAGCTAACAAAATTATAAAAATCAAATTACAAAGATTTTTCTCATCAGATTTTATAGACCCTTTGTCTTAGTTGTTAGGGTAATTGGTTTTCTCAAACAACATTTATGAGAGTTTGCTAGTTTGTATGCTGTTTTGGATTTTTCTAAAGAAAGAAGAAGAATATTTGTGATTCTTCCCCAACTAGACAGTGTAATACACTGGTTAAAAGCACAGAATTCAACAACTGGGTTTAAACCAATGTCCATCTTTTTACAGATTTGTGACAAGGGGCAGGTTAATGTTTCTGCCACATGAAGACATTATGCATCATTATTAACTACAAAAGTACCCATGTAGTTAATGAAATAGTATAACAATGAAGTTATTTCTAGGTTATACTGAGCTTCAGGAGAAAAAATTGGGGATGTTAATGGTACAATTTTTAACAACAAAATAATAGGGTACTTACGTCCCAAGCATTTTCAAGTCAGAAAATAAAGAAGGTCTAGTCTTCTGAAGAGACCAGCTTGAACTGGCAAAATTTCAAGGCAATAATATCTGTTCCAAAATAAGCTATTCTTCTGTATTTCCAACACATCTCATAGCATCAAGAAATGCTTCCTATAATTCCATAAAGTTCTTTTAAAAATACAAACCTATTTAGTAGTTGTAGTCGTGCCTTAACAAAGCAATTTCCCACATATGACGACTTTTTTAAGTGAGGTGAAATTGGCATAATATACAATTAACCATTTTAAAGTGTGCAACTCAATGACATTTTGTATCATGATGCTGTGCAACCAGCACCTCTTTC